TGGGTATTTTTGTTAAAAATGACAAAGCACAATTGGAAGGATTAGAATAGTAAGAAAGCAAAGGCAATAAATTGGTAAATATATCAAAAAAATTTCCTCCTGTAGTGGGAAGAAGACAGAGAGAGAAGAAAGAAAAATTAATAAAGAACTAGTCAAGAGAAAGGGGAAAGTTCACCTCTCAGAAAGAGTTATGAAGGTCTCTCCAAATCCAAAGTCTTGCCCAAAATCCCACAGGGAGTAGATAGTAAATACAGGATTGTAACCAAGATCCTTTGATTCCAAATTCAAGGCTCTGTTCATTGTATTATGCTATGCAAAAATACATAGGTATCACTAAGACTTAGTGGGATAGGGCCCATGATTGGAACATGATTCATGAAGAGAATGCGTTATTCAAAAGGAAAAGGATAGGGGCAAATAGGTGGCACAGTAGATAGAGCACCAGCCCTGAGGTCAGGAAGACCTGAGTTCAAATCTGGCCTCAGACCAAACACTTGACACTTACTAGCTGTGTGACCCTGGGCAAGTCACTTAACCTCAATTGCCTAAAAAAAAAATCTTAAAAATTTTTTAAAAAAAAGAAAAGGATAAGTAGAGAGGTCAGGGCAAGAATAGGGAAGGAAAGAGTAGCATTATATATCAGGATTTACTCACATCAGGAAATCCAGGAACAAGAATGGGGAATCATTATGGAGGGTATTTAATTACAGACCCAGAAACAGAATATTGTTCTAGGAGTATGCTACAAACCACCTGGACAGAAGGAGGAAATAGATGAGAAGTTTAGAAAACAAGTTATAAGCCCCATATGGATGCTTATGATATAATAGTGATTGAGACTTCAATTACCCAGCTATTGCCTGCAGCTCTCATTCTGCCAAAAGCAGAACAATTAATAATTTCTTGACTTTCTTTAATAAAATTCCATCCTTTAAAAAGCAGAGGAAGCAACAAGGGGAGCTATCATTCTGAACCCAATTCAGACCTGAAGTAGACATGATGGAAATATTTGAGAAAAGTGAACACTTCATCTTTGAATTTATGATTCAAACAGAGGAAAGTTATTGTTTTTGTTGTTATATGTTGACCTCTTTTGGAAGTTTTCTTGGCAAAGATGCTGGAGTAGTTTGCAATTTCCTTCTCTTGGTCATTTTACAAGTGAGGAAACTGAGGCAAACAGGGTTAAGTGACTTGCCTCTTGCCCAGGGTCACACAGCTAGTGTCTGAGGCTGAATTTGATCTCAGGTCTTCCTGACTCCAGGTCCTATACTCTATCCACTGCACCACCTACCTGCCCATAAAGGACAGTAGAGCATAGCCTAATAGGTACCCTACATTTTGAGAGAGCAGATTTCATATGATAAATTATGATTGAAAATTCTATAAAAGTCAGCCCAAGAGGTATACAGAGTTCACAGAGATGAAATGGCCAGAGAATACATGACTGTTCTTAATGAATTCATGTCATCAAACTCAGATGAACCATATCCCAAATACTCGAAGAATTTGTGAAGGCAATTGTTGAGTGTCTGTTAATGATCTTTGAAAGAACATAGAAGACAGTAGAGGTGCTGCAGGTATGGAGAAAGAAAAATGCCCCAGTTTTCCAAAAATGGAAAAGAATGGAGTCCACACACTATAGACCAATGACAGTTTTTCATAAAATTTTAGAACTTACTGTTTTTTAAATTAAATTTTATTTCCTAACTGAAATCCATTTATCCTCCCTTCTACCACTCACAAACTTGGAAAAAGAAAATAAAAACAAATTTCTTGTAACATATATGTATATTCAGCCAAAACAAAACCCCTCATTTGTTTCTCTTGAGCAAAACAAAATCCTGCATTCAAAAAGTATATTCCTCCTTTTGCACCCTGAATCCAGAGAAGGCAACATAATTGACCCTGACCCCTAGGACTTCTGGAAACCTAGAGAAAGTTCTCTTCCTCCCCTAGTCCAACTGCTCCTTCCTAAGCTGTATAACCTCACTTAGGGTAGCAGGCACTAGGAAGCGGGTTATGATGTACAGAAAAAGAAAAGAGGAGCATTTATTGAGATTCTACCCCAGCACTTGGCATGCTACCTGGCACATAGTTGGTGCTTAATAAATATTTATTGACTGACTGCCCATCCAAATTGCTATCTACATCAGGCTCCTCCCCTCCCACCTCTAGACTGAAGATGGATCTGTGCTCAGTCATTTTATACTTCAACATGAAGATATTACAAAGCTAGGGCTGCTGAGGGAAAATCCCAAGAATTCCTTGACCTCAATATTCTCCCCAGAAACCTAGAATCTCTGAGTTTACACTCTCTGTGTCCTTCTATCCTTCCCCTACTCTGTGAATTGGCCTCTGGATAGAGTCTCTGGGGTATCAGGGTGGGAATAAAGCTGAATCATCCATCCATAGCCTCAGTCCTTCAGCTCCCTAATTCCCCTTTAGCCACCAGGATAGCCAGACTGGCTCTTTTTGGTAGAGATAAAGAAGGAAGTAATCTATAGCCTTCTCAAAGACCTGAAGGAGAGGAGAGCTAGGAAAGTAAGAAGAATGGAGGAATGGGGATGGGACACAAGGAATCTCACTCAACCTTAGGTCATAGTGGATGGGTAATGGGCGATAAAAACAAGTTTAGATAAGACGTAGCCTCTATCTTTAGGGAGCTTATAGCTTAGGAGGAAGATATGACACATACCTAAATAACTACTAAATAAACTAACATGTGATAAGTACATTAGAAAGATGCTAATTAAGTGCTATATAAGATCTGAGGTCATTACCAACTATGGGCATCAGGGAAGGCTTCATGAAGGAGGTGTGTTTTGAGTTATCCTTCAAACGAATTCAAAACACTCCTTCATGAAGAGTGGAACGGGCAGAGAGAAGGTGGTACATTTCAGACACAGGGATCAGTCTAAGAGGAGGTACAAGTTGTGAAAATATGATAGTTGTAGGGAAAACAATTCATAAGCCAGTTTGGTTGGAGAATGGGGGAAGTGGAAAGGAGTAGTCAACTTTTTCCAGAATTGCCACAGTCAGCCCATCACGTCTTATTTAAACCAACAAATGATTATTTATCACAATAGAATCTTGATTGGTGAATTTGTTAATTATTCATTTGGGGAAAATGTTCAGTTCTTAGTCAAAACACTGAGGTGGCAGTAGAGCAGTGGAATTGGCAGTAAATTAAGAGTCACAATACTTATATTCTGCTACTTATTAGTGTGTCTGTGGGTCTACCCTCATTATTCCCATTTATTAAATGGGTAAATGTCTTGAGGAAATGGACTTTATAAACTGTGAAAAGGTTCTAAAAATGTGAGTGATGACAAAAGGCTTTTGTTTTGGGGATTAAATTGTAGTAATCATTTTCTTCTTTCTCTTCCTTCTCTTAGCTGGTGCTAAGGGCTGTGCCAAGGCTGGGATCCTGGGCATCCTTCATATTGGTATCTGTGCAGACCTTACTTTTTAGACATCATCCTAGCAGAGCAGTCATTCAGAGGAGATTTCCTTGGATTCCATGATTCCACTCTGCAGCCAAATAGTGACATCACATGCTCTCACTTACCTTCTGATTGTGACTGGAAAAGAATAGTATGTTCTTCAGGAATAAAATATAGGCTTTATTTACAAATGTTTGAGGCCTTTTTTTCTCTTCAGTATAAACAGTAAAAAGAAAGGCAGTGTATCCTTACATGTACTTGGCCAAAGATGACCATAACCTTTGTATCAGAGGCTGCCTTCTGAGATGAAAGGCCCGCGTACAATTAGACAGAATTTTCAATTCTCTAGCTTGTTCTCATCTAGATAACTTGGGAATTGTCATACCTTATAATGACAGGGTTTAGTGACCAACTAACCTTGTAAGTGGACAGTGAGGCAATACTGTGGCTGGAGTCAGGAAGACCTGAGTTCAAATCTGGCCTCAGACACTTACTAGCTATGTGACCCTGGGCAAGTTACTTCACCCTGTTTGCCTCAGTTTCCCCAACTGTAAAGTTAGCTGGAGAAGGAAATGGCAAACCATTCCGGTATCTTTGCCAAGAAAACCTCAAAAAGGGGTCACGAAGAGTTGGACACAACTAAAAATGACTGAACAACAACAAAAACCTTGCAAGCACACATGTTCTCAAGGCTCAAAGCATAAAGTTTATTTAGAATCACAGAATGTGAGAATTGAAAGAGTCCTCAGTTGTCCTCCGGCCAGTTCTGAATCTCTCTGATCCTATTATCTATATATTATCTATTATATCATATTATATTATAATATATTATATTTATTATATTATATTATATTATCTATAATCTATATTCCCATATTCTCCTTAAAATTATTAGGAGATATTTTATCAAAAGTTTTGTTAAAATCTTAGGTAAATTATATCCACAACATTCCTCTCAACTACTAGTTAAATAATTGTAAAAAACAAAAAAGAAATAAGGTTAGTTTGAGATGGCCTATTCTTGATGAAGTCCTTCTGGCACTCTGTAATCAATGCTTTCCTTTCTAGATGTTTGCCATTACAGAATTTTCCCAACAAATCAAAGTCAAGTTCACTTGCCCATAGCTTTCTCACTCTGTTTTCTTCCCCCTTTTTTTTAAACATTGGGATAATATTTTCCATTCTTCAGTCTTGTGCTATTTCCCCCATTTTCCATGATCTTTCAATTATCATGAATAGGGCACAACAAATTACATCTGCATCTTTAGAACCAGGGAATGTAGTTCATCTGTTAAAATGGTGCAAAGTTAAACAAAGAATTATAATTGGTTGTTGTATCAATAACTAGTGTGATATACCAACATAGCAAAGATCAACTTCATTTTAACTCTGAAGGAAAAGATGGGTTGCATCACTTTCTTAAAATTACTTTATTGAAACCTAAAGTTTGGTTTCCAAGGTGGAGACAAAATAGCTTCTCCCTTGAGAAGCAAAGAACCACAATTCCTTAGCAAAAAACAGGAGCTCCAACCGTCCAGTAACTGAATATTATTCTCATCAGAGACCTGGAATCTCCCCACAGAAGGAGATGCCAAAACTGTACGTGTTTGCAAAAATTCTTGCTTTAAAGCAGGATTGGGGATTCAGTGCCAGGGCAGTGCCTTTAAGGAGAAAGAAACTCAGGTTAAGAGAAGAAACCACCTCACTACCAACTACCTTCAAATCAAATGATTCCAGGTTAAATGTTATATATGTTACATGAAAGGCATTATTCCTCCATCACATACTGGCAGAGTGATTCTAGGAAAATCATTTCATCTCCAAGTGCTCAAGGCAATTGTTTTGGGGCTATAAATTACAAGTGAGTTACTGATAGTGTGTTTTTGTAACACAAATATCCCACAACAATGGTCCTTAAATATTTCGGTCTCAGAATCCCTTTACAATCTTAAAAAATACTGAAGACCCCCCTCCAAGAGCTTGGTTATATCTTTTGATATTTACTACATTAGACATCAAAAGGTCTTTGTATTATTGTGAAAATTGTTTTGACCTTGTGGACCTTCTGAAAGGGTCTCTAGGATACCCAACGTTCACCGGACCACACTTCAAGAACCACTACCTTACACAGATAAAAATGTAAGTTCAAACCAATGTGTTACCTGGTTGGACATAGTGCTGGATTCATGGCTATTTGTAAAGAATGATGGAATTAGAATTGGAAACTCCTGAACAGTGGGAGCTATTAGCACAATTTGAAGGAGGTAAAATGTTTCAGCATCCCTTCCCTCCCACTTTCTGTTGCTTTTCATCATCCTCCTGAGTCTATCCCATTTATGTGCCTAATGATCATAGGATTTAGAGCTCAGAGAGACTTTAGAAATTATCTTTTTGGGGCAGCTAGGTGGCACAATGGATAGAGCACCGGCCCTGAAGTCAGGAGGACCTGAGTTCAAATCCGGCCTCACACCAAACACTTGATGCTCACTAGCTGTGTGACCCTGGGCAAGTCACTTAACCCCAATTGCCTAAAAAAAAAAAGAAATTATCTTTTCATTGGATCACAAACTTGGTTCCAAAAGGGACCTTAGTGGTCATTCAGTCTAAGCCTTATCTAGTTTCAACCTCTCATTTTACAGATAATGAAACTGTGGGCCAGAAGAGGGAAAATGACTTTTTATAAGTTGTAAGATGGAAAGTAGCAGAGCCAGGATTCTAATATAATAGGATGTCTGATCCCAAACCTACAGCTCGTTCTACTGGATTGAGATATTCTCACAATGACTTCTCCTTTTAGGAGTAATAACAATACCTAACTTTTTTTTGTGTTTTAAGGTATGCAAAGTACTCTACAGATATTATCTCATTTGATCTTGGCAACAACCTTAGGAGGTAAATACTATTATTATTCCCATTTTACAGATGAGACTGAGACAGACAACAGTTAAGTGACTTGCTCGGAGTTGCACAGCTAGTAAGTGTCTGAAGCTGGATATGAATTCAAGTGTTCCTGACTCCTGGTCCAATACTCTTTCTAACTGAGCAACTTTTTTCACATATCAAATCTAAATTAACTTCTTTGCAACTTCTCATGGCTGCTACTCCTGTCCTTTGGGGCCATGAATAATAAACCTAGTGCCTTCTGGACACTAGTCCCTATAGTAGACTACAATAGGGGTGAGCAGTAAATAGAGACGGGTCTCTCAGCTCTGTCCTTTGTTCTGAAAGGCATGATGTTTGCCTGGTTGGACAAGTCCCAGAGTCAAGAATCCTGGGAGCCAGGGGCTGTAATGTGGCTGACATTTGGGCCTGGAATCAGGAAGCCTAATCTTCCTGAGTTTAAATCCAACCTCAGACACTTACTAGCTGTGTTACCTTGGGCAAGTCACTTAGCCCTGTTTGCCTTGGTTTCCTCATCTATAAAATGGGCTGGAGAAGGAAACAGCAAACCACTCCAGTATCTTTGCTAAGAAAACCCCAAATAGGATCACCAAGAGTCAGACATTACTAAAAAACAACTAAACAACATCAAAATGTTCTTTCTTTACCTCTTTCCATCACACATTTCAATCAACATGGGTAGTGTGTCAAATAGATACTTCCCTGAACCTCCCCAAACTCTAATCACCCCTCATGGCACAAAAGAAATTGATTTACCTTCCATGTGTTGCTGTGCAAAGTATGTAGGAACCTCTCTACACAGATCACTGATAGTCTTTCCATACTGAGCAACATTCTTAACCCGAGCAGGTAAAATGATGTAGGTGAGACCTTGGGAGGAGCCATAATTTCTAGGTAACTGAAAGTAAATAGAATTTAATATTTAGAGAAGAGACCTTACTGGTAGATTACCTAGTACAACATCTTCATTTCACAGATGAAGAAACCGAGTCCTGGCAAAGGGGAGGGGGCTAGCCCAAGGTCACACAGCAATAGGATTGTAGAATCAAATATCTCAAGCTAGAAGGATCTTCTGAGGCCATCCAGTCCACGTTCCTCATCTTTACATATGGGGAAAATGAGGCCAAGGGTGGTTACATGACTTGCCCAAGGTCATACAGGTAGTAAGTATCTGAGGCAGGATTTGAACTCTGCTAGATTTGGAAAGTTGCATATGGAAACTGTCAATGGATAGACCAGCAGTGGGGAGAAAACAATAGCCCACAGGACGAATTTGATTCAGGCTGTAGACCACAGATCAAGACACCGAACTTTCATTTATAACTAGAGTCGCAAAAATGTAAAGTGATTTTTAAACCACGTTAGCAGCAGCATTCCAAAAGTAAGGTTGTTGATCCATGACTATCTATCTCTATGTCTGTCACTCCCGTTGCCTCTCTGTGTTTTTAGGTCTTTCTTGGGCTCCTATTTCTGTGCATAACCCTTCACTGACCACATTATAGAAGTGTATTTCATATTAATTACTATGTTTAATAAATAATTGTATGTTCCCTTTTTAAAAAATTGTAATGATGACATTTATAAACAGTTTATGTCCATTTTATATCCACTCCTACACTGGGGTCTAAATGTCATGACTGCTGATTTGAGTACAAACCAACCCATTTAGCCCACTCTATCTAGCTGGCTACAGACATCAGACCATTTTTTGAGTTCACATTCAATCCATCCATCCACCCAGGCTATCATGCCATCTGCCTGCCATACAAATGCATGTACATTTCCCCACCCCTTTCCACCCATAGCTCTGGGCACAACAATCAAATCAATAGAGGCATTGCTTCTTGGAAAGAAAATAGTGAGTAAAAATAAGATGGAGGGAAATTCACAAATAGTAATTATAACTTTGAATGTGAATGGGATATTTATAGCAGCTCTTTCTGTGGTGGCAATGAACTGGAAATTTCAGAAATGCCCATCAACTGGGGAATGGCTGAACAAGTTATGGTGTATAATTGTGATGGAATACTACAGTGCTATAAGAAATGATGAGCTCATTGATCTTGAAAAGATGTGGAAAGATTTGCACAAAATAATGAAGAGCAAAATGAATAGAGCCAAGGGAATATTGTATGCCATAAAAGCAATATTGTTTTAAGAATGACTTTGAGAGACTGAGTCATTTTGACTATTTTAAATACACAAATTAAAAATAAAGGACATATGAAGAGAGATGCCATGTGCATCCAGAGAAAGAACTGAATAATTTTACATATATTTGTGTGTACATATATGTATATATACATATATATATATATACACCTATTTGTGTCTAATTGTGGTCATCTCTAGGGTGGGGAGGGAAGAAAAAAAGGAAAAAGAAAATAAATTTACATGACTATGTTGTATATTTGGAAGAAGTAGCAAGTTGTAGATGGTAGATTTGCAGTTTCGTGTGTAATAATCTTTTTTATTGTACTGTGTTATGGAAATGCTTTATCTATTCTGTGAATTGAAAATAAGATAAATTTTAAAAAGAAAGGGTGTGTCAATTGATTGCCCTTAAATTTCAATGGTACCTCTGGGGGAGTGGTGGCCTGGGGAAGGAGTGGTGATCTGATAAATGAGAGAGTTGAGTTGATAATTAGATCGGGTTCCATAGGTTTACCTAAAAAAGGCCTGAAGAAGCAAATGGTACGTACATATTCCAGAGCATTTGGTAGCTTTGTTCATGTTCTTTTCACTTTACCAATCAAAAGTCACCTAACAATGCAGGTCAGACTCCATCAAAATGAATGTTTCTCAATTAATTGATAGTGTACAACGTCACTGTAGCCAATATGCTTTGTCCCAAGTGGGCTACTGTACTTATAAATCCTTTGCTGGACAGCAAGATGCTATTATCATCATCAGTAACAATAAATACTAGTAATTATCATTAACTCTGATTTCGGTGACACTCTGAGGTTTACAAGAGGCAGCTAGGTGGTGCAGTGGATAGAGTGCCTGCCCAGGAGTCAGGAGGACTTATATTCAAATCTGGCCTCCGACACTAGCTTTATGACTCTGGGCAAATCACTTAACCCTGTTTGCCTCAGTTTCCTCATCTGTAAAATGAGTTGGAGAAGGAAATTGCAAACCACTCCAGTATCTCTGCCAAGAAAACCCCAAATGGGGTCACAGAGAGCCAGACATGACTGAAACAACTCAACAACAACAAGGTTTACAAGGTACTTTCCCAATAGCAATCTGCAGAGATAAATAGTGCAAAGAGTATTATCTTCCTTTCACAGATAAGGAAAACTGAGGCTCAGAGAGTTCCTAGTCACACAGATAGTAAAGGTGCCCAAGGTAGGATTCAAATCCAAGTCTCTCACTCTTTCTATGACATCACCACCAAGGATGTATAAGATACTGTACAGGGTGCTGGCAATACAAAAAAGACTGCGATGTCTTCTACACATCAACAAACTGGTTGGAAAATTGTCCTGCAGCAGTTGTAGTTCTGTTATCAAGAAATCTTTGGTGATCAGCGCTGCTGCGTTACCTGTTTATCCAGGGCTTTTCGGAGTGTTTCCAGACTGGGGAAGATAACTTTATCCATCCTGGTTAGCACGCAAGCCCTCTTACTATACAGTTTGGCGGCCAAATAACCCTTGAACAATCCAATAGAAATATTTAATAAAAGTTGTTACTTTTCCCTGAACTCAGTTCATTCTAGCAGGATATAATATGAAAGTAGGAATTATTCCTCAAGACCAGTGCATATGGAAAGCTCAGAGGAGGCTAAGTCTTTGAAAAAAAAATACGATAAACTTCTAGGCCCTTTCTTTCTGGCCTGCTTAGTGGAGAAGGGCCAACTTGTAAAGACTCCCTAATAATGATAACTGATATTTGAATAGTCCTCAGAAGTTTCCAAAGAGCTTTGCAAGTGTTATTTCATTTGATCCTTACAACAGTCCTGTGGGATAGGTGCTACAATCCCTATTTAAAAGATGGAGAAATTAGATTTACATGACTTGCCTGTGGTTATATAACAGTAGTCAGGATACCATATAACAATAGTCAGGAATCTTCTGACTCCATGCCCAGAGCTGTCTCCATTATATCAGGATACTTTCATTAACCCTCTCTAAGGAATGATGAGCTGCCCATCAGTGTTTACAAACTCAAAACTCATAGGATTCAGCCATGGAAGGGACCTTAGAGTTAGACCTTAGTCCAACTCTATCTCATTTTAGAAATGAGAAAGTTGGAGCTCAAAGTGATTTAGGACCAGTTGGATCATAGGCTTTGGAGTTGAAATGGACTTGAGGCATTGCCTGGAGGTACTGTAGCTTACTCAAGACCATAGGGCAGTGAATGTCAGAGCCAGGATTTGGAACCAAGCTGCTAACTACACAACCAGTGATTTCCCCGCTGTACCAGGGAGTCACACAAGGGGAAATGGAGAAAGGAAGGAAATAAGCATTTATATCATGACTACTATGTGCCAGGCACTGTGCTAAAAGCTTTACAAATATTATTTCATTTCATCCTCACAACAACCCTGCAAAGTAGGTGCTATTCTGACCCCTAGAGGCCAGCTCTTCTATGAACCATGCTGCATTACTTCCCCCACCCTGGCCACATTATTTCTCTCTTATGAAATATAAAACTGAACAGTAGCCAAGACAAGGTTTGTTCCAACCTTGTGCTACCGAGGCTCGTGTCTTACATGGTTGTAATCCAATATGCCATCCCATTCACTCCAAACATTAGTGTCATGGATGAGAATGATGCTGTCACGAATATTGACATTGGTGCTTTGGTCCTCATGGATTTCATTCGGGAGTTGAGTCTGGCCCTAGTGAAGAAAAAATCTTGAGTGCCATTAAACAGACTGAATACAGACCTTCTCCACATCTTCAAGGGGGCATTCATTCCAAATTCTTTCCTTCATGCACTTTGCTGGGGGAGTGAGAATCTCCTTCTGAGATTGCACTGTTTTAAATTCCCTTGGCTCTCAGAAATGCCACTGCTAAAACCTTTGCTAGCCACTCACCGCCTGTCCCGGGGATGGAGTCAAGAACATTACCACAAAGACAGCAATCATTATCTATAATTGAAACAAACAAAAGTCAGAACAAATAAACAGAAGAACCAGAGCTTGGAGCTTTTCTCTCCCAAAAAAAGTCTGGAGCCTCTGTTCTCCAAATTGTTTTTAGTTAATAAAATTTAAAGGTAGGAGAGATCTTTGAGATCATTGAGTCCAATCCCTTCATTTTATAGACAAAACAGCTGAGGCCCAGAAGGAAAAGGCAATCTGCCCCAAATCATGAGGCTGCTGAGTAGAGAAGGCAGCGTTCAAACTCTTGTCTTCCAACTCCACATTCAGAACCTTTCTTCCAACCTTGTAATGCTTTGGCAGAGCAATCTGCTTAAGAGCGTCCCTAGAACACCACTAGAAAGAAGAATATGATACAGGTCCTTTATTCCTTAGTGTATACAGTTATTAGTCCCCTGGGGTAGTTCTCCCAAGAGTTTAGAGCTAGATGGTGACTTAGAGAAGATCCCGTCCAATTCTCTCATTTTACAGAAGAGAAAGCTGAGCTAACAAAGATGCAGTAATCTGCCCAAGAACACACAGGTAGTAGAACCAGGATTCACACCCAGGTCCTATGACAGGGCCCTTTCCACTACACTACATGGTGGGAAAGACTGATTTTTTTTTTAATTAAGTTGGATTTTTTCCATCAATGAAAATTTGCCTTTTGTCACATCACCCCAAACCAATGAGAAAGAAATACAAAACCCCTTTCATAAACACACATAGCTAAGCAAAACAAATTCCCACATTGACTATGTGCAAAAAACCTGTCTCATACTGCCCTCTCCTTCACCCCTCTGTGAGAAGGTGGGGGGCTTACTGCATCTTCAGTCCTCCAGCTTCATGTTTGCTCATAATCAGAGTCCTACAGTCATTTCAAATTGTCTTAACAATCTTGTTGTTATTCTATGCATAAAGACTTTGCTTCTCGATTAAAGAAACCTAACACATTAGTCAGTCAATAAGCATTTACTATTGTTGTTCAGTCATGTCAGACTCTTCGTGGCGCCATTTAGGGTTTTCTTAGCAAAGATGCTGGAGTGATTTGCCATTTCCTTCCCCAGCTCATTTTACAGATGAGGAAACTGAGGCAAACAGGGTTAAGTGACTGGCCCAGAGTCACACAGCTAGGGAGTTTCTGAGGCCGGATTTGAACTCAAGAAGATGAGTCTTTCAGACTCCAGACCTGGCTCTCCATCCACTGTGCTGCTTAGCTACCCCTAAATATCAGCATTGCATTTATGTATTTCCCTGCCATCTATGAAATTCTCCATTGGAGACTGAGGTTAGGGCCTGAACATTTTCTCTTGGCAACTTCTGTACTTTGTTCCTTCTCTAGTTTGCACCTGAACTCAGCCTTTAAAGCATTTATTAAGCACCTACTGTGTGCCAGGCACTGTGCTAAGGTTTGCAGATACAAAGAAAAGCAAAAGACAGTTTCTGCTCTTAAGAAGCTCACAGATTGTTCCCCCCTCCCATTCCCCCCTCTCCCCAGTCTCTTAAAATTGTACCACATCTTTTCTATTTACACTTTAGTTTGACCTTACAGAAAGTGTCTCCATAGTTTAAAATGGCAAAGTAATAAAACCAAATAATCAACCCTTTCCCCTCAAAAAAAAAAATCTTTAAAAGTACTGTAATATTTACTAGCTGTGGGACCATTTGTAAGTTAATTCACCTCTCTGTTTCTTTTTCAGTAAAATGGGAATAATAGTACTCACCCTGCCTATGGAGGTTTGGGGATGTAGTGGATAGTGTGTGGACCGAGAGTCAGGAAGACCTGGGGTCAAATCCTACCTCTGAAAAATACTAGCTGTGTGACCCTGGGTAAGTCATTTACCCTTACCAAGCTTCAGTTCACTTCCCCACCTCTCTGGCCTCTTCTTTTGGTGAGTTCTTCCCCAGACTTCCATTTGAGGAAGCATCCATGCCAGCCATGCTTTCTTCACACTCAGACCAGCCCATGACTCCCTGGATCACCTCTCCATCCACCTTGCTTCCATAAGGGGACCTTCCCTCTCACCTTTTCAGCTCCTCTTTATGTGTTGTCTTCTCCTACTAGAGTGTAAGCTCCTTGGGGGCAGGGATGGTCTTTCTTTTTGCTTTTATTTATATTCCCAGCACTTGGCACAGTGCCTGGCACATAGTAAGCACATGATAAATGCTCTCCCTCTGTCTCTCTCTCGCTTTCTCTCTCTCTGTCTCTCTGTTTCTTGCTTTCTCTCTCTCTGTCTCTGTCTTTCTGTCTGTCTCTCTCTCTGTGTCTCTCTCTCTGTGTAGCTCTCTGTTTCTCTGTCTCTCTCTGTGTGTGTCTCTCTCTGTCTCTCTCTTGCTTTCTCTCTCTCTCATTCTCTCTCCCTATGTCTGTCTCTCTCTCTGTCTCTCTCTCTCTGTCTCTCTCTCTGTCTGTCTCTCTCTCTTGCTTTCTCTCTCTCTCTGTCTCTCTCATTCTCTCTCTCTGTGTCTGTCTCTCTGTCTCTCTGTCTCTCTCTCTGTCTCTCTCTCTGTGTGTCTCTGTCTCTCCGTCTCTCTCTCTCTGTCTGTCTCTCTGTCTCTGTCTCTGTCTCTCTCCCTCCTCTGTCTATGAGTCTATCTAATTATCAATTTCCCATCTGTAAAATGTGGGGGTTGAATTAGATCGTTTCCAAGGTCCTCCCCAGCTCTGCATTTATGATTCTATAATCTTCACAGGGCTGTAGTGGGGAAAACACTTTGTAACTCTAAAATGCTATAGGAATGTGGGTGGTTATTACTATTTTTATCCCATCCTCTTCTCACAGAATGAAAACAATGAAATCTAAAGTGAATCTTAATATGGAGAAAAATCAGCCAGATACTACATCCAATTTAGTTCAACAAACAAACATTTATTGAAGTCCTACTAGGTGCAGGGAGCTGGGAGGAGGTGGCAGCATGGTATAGTGATCAGAGAGCTACCCTCGGATTCAGGAAGCTCTGGGTTCCAGTCCTGCATCTGACATAGCACATTTGGCCTGTGTGACCCTGGGCAAGTCACAACGTCTCAGTGCCCTTGAGCAGATATCTGAGACTCCTCTGCAGAGGAAGTGGTGGAAGAAAAGTCTCACTGGAAACTCTGAGCTACACAGATAAAATCATAAGTCTGCTAAAAAAAAATGCTAGGGGCTATGTTAAACACTAGGAAGGAAAAAAAAGTGAAATTACACAATTTCTGCCCTTAAGGAGCTAACAATCAGGTAGAAGTTTAAAGTCCAGAAATATTAATATGATAAATTTAACAAAGTGGATCCTTTTTTACATTAACTGTAACATTATTTATATTATCATTTTGTGTATATATTTATTTATAAATTTGTATATTTTTATTTCTGTATTTTAATTATATTATCTACTTATATATATTTATATAATTATAAATAGATGTATATGTTATTTCATATTAACTTTCTATTGGGCTGCTCTAACAGTTAGAAAGAGGTCAGTGCCACTTATTTCATTCATATTTAGAATTTAAGCCTGAAAAGCAGTGTGACTTACAAAATAGAGAGTTGGCCTCAGAGGCAGGAAGACCAATGAATGTTTAAGAACTGTCTCTTACACAAATTGAGAATATTATTCTTGTCATTTAGTCATGTTTCAGTTATGTCCAACTCTTTGTGACCCCATCTGGAGTTTTCTTGGCAAAGATACTGGAGTGGTTTGCCATTTCCTTCTCCAGCTCATTTTACATATGAGGAAACTGAGGCAATCAGGCTTAAGTGACTTGCTCAGGGTCACACAGTTAGGAAGTGTCTGAGGCCAGATTTGAACTCAGATCTTCCTGACTCCAGGCCCTATACTCTACAAACTGGGTGTGTACCCTGGACAAGTTCTCTGACATTCCAGTGCCTCAAGGCAACTCTCCAAGACTAGAAGTGGCAGAGTAGGGGTGTATTCACTTTGGTAGAGGGTGTTTCCTCAAAGGGGAGTTCCTGGGTCTGGGTTAGGACATGCAGAATTTCTCTGCACTTGAATTTTATAACTAAGACAAGTGTTTCAGTAGGAATCCTCAGCTTTGGAATCTCTCCCAGACTCTCGAAGATTCTAAAAGCTTTTGCCCATAGCTACTTTGGAAAATAACATTTATCAAGGAAGTTGACGAATGTTCACAGATAGAGTCCAGTGAAAGGGCTTTGCATATCGTAAGCATTTAATGATATTTGTGCTTCAATGTAGATTTCATTTTTATTTTATTTGAATAACCCAAAGAAAGAATGGTATAGTGATTAGAGAGAGCGTCAGCCTCAGAGTCAGCAAAACCTGGTTAGGATCCTTCCTCTGATTTCTATTAGCTGCATGACCAGTAAGTCAATAAACATTTCTTAAGTGCCTACTGTTTTCCAGGCACTGTGCTAAGCGCTTGGAGAGACAAAGAAAGTCAAAAGACAGTACCCGAGCTTAAGCAGCTCCCATGAGACAACATGAAAACAAATATGTACAAACTATGGACAGGAGAAGTTGGAAAGTCTTTCAGCCTCTCATTCGGATGAGCTGCCAATCTGCATTGGTGAAGCTAGTTTCCATACCAGACATTCCTTACCCTATGCTGGAGAAATCATAGCTCTAAAGAATTTATATATACATATATATATATACATATACATATATATACACACACGCATACATACATATATGTAAATATATAATATATAATTTTATATATACATGTTATATATTATATATGTAAACATATAATTTTATATATACACATTATATATTTATATATGTGAATGTATATATTATAAATATATAATGAATAATTTTTTAAGAAAGGAAACAAGGAAAACATAGAGAGCTACCCTGGAAATTGTAATAATGAGGATAGCCATAGGAGCAGTAGTGCTGAGGAAATAGCACTAACTCCATAGTCTGAGAATGTGGATGAGAATCTTGCCTTGGGCACTTGATACCAGCACAGCCTTGGGGGAAAAAAATCACATAATCTCTGATCCTTACTTTCCTCATCTGTGAAATGAGGGGGAT